GATTAACTCAATTTTACGAAAAAGAGAGTACGCATAAGAAACTGAATAAAAAAGCTTTTGGAACTGGCTTTCTTTCCGAAGAAGAAAGTTTTTTTTATGTAATCAGGCTTGTAAAACGGCGTACAAAACCATGCTTTGAATTTTTACTCAATGGACAGTCGTCCCTCCGTTTGTGTCTCTCGTCTTATATCGGAAAATGACTAGAGTACATTACAAAGACAGTCTTTTTTTTTTCGAAAGTTCAAAGAAGCATTAGCCTACCAAGACTAAGTTACGAATTTCAATGGAACGACAGATTATCTGGCGATCCGACATACTCCTTTACGGCAGACATTGTTTTGATTAAATCAGTGATCCCACCGCAAATCAAACACAAGTTTTTCTTTGCAAGGCAGAATGCGCCATCTTTTCTTTTATGCTCTGCTGTTTTGAACAACGTATTATAGTTCGTTTTCTGAATATGACTACTTCTTGGCTGCCTATTGAAGAACCTTATTGTAGCTGATGACTCGAAATAGCAGAATAACCCAGCCGAGATACAATAATGTGCATGGACATTTCTAGAAAGTGTCTGAATAAATTCGGTAGCATGATCTTTTGGAAGTGAGTTTCGTTCATCATGCATATGTTGAGGGAAAACAAATCGACAGCATTTATTTTGCCACGTCATATCACGTGCGTCAATTATTTGGATATGAAAGCCTTCACCATTGTGTTTTTCTCTGTTTCACATCCTTGTCCAAAGTTCAGAAAATGAGTAGAAAAATTCCTCACAATAAAATGATTTTCGTATTTCCTCAGAAACACAGAACAGTGTGCGGCCCCGTTTTTCTAGGTGAGACCATGGAAAGTTGAGTACTTTTCACACGCTTATGTAGCTGAACGTGGATATTCAAGAAATACAAATTCATCAAAAAAATCAAGCAATGTGCTTAAAACGACAAAGCCCAGCATCGCATGCATATCTATGTACAGCTGGTCTAACTTCGTAATCTTTTGAAAGTTTGATGTTCTAGCAAAGGCAACAAAATTTGAGTTATTTGTTGTTTCTAAACTTTTCAGTTGTTTCAATTCTTCGATGTATAGCATATGAAAACACCAGTGCGTCACCTCTGCTTCGCAGAGGCTCGCACTGGTCCTACTATGTGTACGCCTCACTCATTCTTTGAAAATAGAGACATTGAAACTCACCGCGCTATGCAAACTATCACGAATGGTTTGTAAACGACTACTCATTCCAAAAGCTTTTCCAAATGAGATCGGTAATTTCGCTTGAACGAAACTTTTCTCAAAAGAACAAATGCAAATTTGAATAGGTTTTTGGACTTTTCATGACTCGGTATCCGCCAAAAGATGCAATAATGACCGTGGGGTACATCTCTTTGCAAAAATCTTCTCAAATGATCGGGTAAAATCTTGGCAATAAGAAAACTAAAATAAATGAGAAAGCAACAAAATAAAATAAAATAAAATGAAATTAAGAGATATCCAATTCCGTTTCATTCCTTCCACTAGACGGAAAAGGATAAGAGTACGATCTTCCCCGCCACCTTGGCAACCAACCTGACAAGGGAAGGATACCAGCATTAGTCGACAATTGGAATGAGATGTATACCCGTAAACGCGCCTTTGAACGCTGATTCCAAACCTGCTTTCCTTTTTTGCGGAATACATTTCCGCAAGAAAATGTAAGCGTTCAAATGTCCAAATTTGTCAAGGTCTAGGTGGAGGTGGCCTGAAATTGGCGAAAAGCTGTACAAAATCACCGGAAAGTGAAGAATCATTTTTGCATCGAGTATATTGTTTGCAAGAAAGGAACAAAGCCGGTGGAAATCGCATAGGTGTTGTTTTGAAGCTTTTCGCTGATTTTAAGCCACTCAATGCTTGGTAAATCTGGACATTCAAACACTCATAACATCTTTCGGAAACTTATCCTGCAAAAAGGAAAGCAGATTCGGAATCAGCGTTTAAAGGCGCGTTTATGGATATACATCTAATCTTCGATTGCCAATTAATGTTGGTATCCTTCCCCTATGAGGCGGCTATGAAAAGGGAAAGTGATGAATTTCCCTTCCTTCACATAATTTTTTCACATATTTACCATAACTTTGCTCTATGCATCGATGACCTACGACGGAGTTTTTTGGTCTCCCTAAACCCCCTCTTCCTCAGTTACAGCTCTCCAAACATTTTGTATGGTGGCGGCAAGCCTGCTCCAAGCGCACAAGGGTGCGCGCCGGACACAGCATGCCGCCAATTCCGAGAATACGAACATCTCTCTTTATCTGATACGCTCGAGGCGTGCTGACAAAACAACAGAACAAAAGAACACTCTTCAAAAGAACACTGTTTTTTTCGTCTTTTTAGTGTTGTTTGTATGTTTTGTTCCATTATTTTTCGTTATTCGGACCCATTTATGATCGCGGGACTTCGTTTTTGAAAAATTGAAAAAGACACCTCATGCCGAGCGCTGTCAGCAACCCTCATTGACCTTATATAGGAACTTCCAGCTTGCTCCTGCCGCTTTACAGTGAAGCAGAGCCCAAGAACTCGCTTTACACTGCAAATTCAAATTGAAATCAGCTCTATAGAATGATTCCTCGCGATCGGTGTAAGACATCAAAGCAAAATTTCAACGCTCAAACAGGCGTACATTTTCTGGAATATTCTATGCTTGACGCCCTACTTTAATCATTGTACAAGCGAAAACATGCCAACAGAATTAGTTACAAGTTTTCAAACATAATGTCAAACTTTCGGGATTATAACGTACTAGCTGGCTTACCCGGCTCCGCCGTATCCGGACCAAACTTGGCACACATACACTTCGGGCCCCGGCGGGTGTCACAGTCCACTTTTTGTTATCGATCGATGTCGATTTTACCGATTTTTATCGATTTTTTTGCAGAGTTCACCTACAGGGCTAGGAGTTGGCACAGGGGGGGGGAAGTGAGCATGGGGATTCCGAATACAATATTAGTTTTCAGAATTATCGATTACTTTTATTGATTTTATCGATTTTTTGTAAATTTTGACATGCGAGGCTGGGATTTTGCACAGGGGGTAATCGAGCATGCTGATTACGAACACAATATTAGTTTTCAAGATCGTCCATTACTTTTATCGATTTTATCGATTTTTTTGCAAAGTTTGAGCTAGGGGGCTGGGAGTTGGCACAGGGGGGTAATCGAGCATGCTGATCACCCCCAAGGGGGATGATCAGCATGCTCGATTACACCCCTGTGCCAAATTCCAGCCCCCTAGCTCAAATTTTCAAAAAATCGATAAAATCGATAAAAGTAATCGATAATTTCGAAAACCAATATTGTATTCGGAATCCCCATGCTCGATTACCCCCCTGTGCGAACTCCCAGCCCCGTAGCTCAAACTTTGCAGAAAATCGATAAAATCGATAAAAGTAATCGATAATCCTGAAAACCAATATTGTATTCGGGATCCCCATGCTCGATTACCCCCCTGTGCCAACTCCCAGCCCCGTAGCTCAAACTTTGCAGAAAATCGATAAAATCGATAAAAGTAATCGATAATCCTGAAAACCAATATTGTATTCGGAATCCCCATGCTCGATTACCCCCCTGTGCCAACTCCCAGCCCCGTAGGTGAACTCAGCAAAAAAATCGATAAAAATCGATAAAATCGATATCGATCGATGACGAAAAGTAGCCTATGACACCCGCCGGGGCCCGTAGTGTATGTGTGCCAAGTTTGGTCCGGATCGGTTCAGAAATGGAATTTTCTATTCGGAACATACGTACAGACATACATACATACAGACAGACAGACAAACAGACATTCAGCTTTATATATAAGATACGAATATAAAGAAATAAAGTTGCCCTCAAAAAACTGTTTTTTTTGTGCTACTTCAATCCTTCTCCACTGCTCCCATACTTCTTTTTTCTTCTTTTTTTTTGTACTTGGATTTAGCCGAAGTTGTTTACCATGGTGACTTGTTTCCTTTCAGTAGAATCTGTGAGTCTATTTTCATGAGATTTATCCATCGTCTCTCTCTCTCTTTCTCTAATGACTCTTCTATGAGTTATCAGCTTACAAGTAAATACCATTAACGCCATATTCTAAAAAGTTCAAGTAAAGCCATTAGCTCCAGCGCCAGCAATTGTAGTTAGAAGGCTTCATTAATGTGACAGTCGCAATGATTTTATTTACAATTTTTGAAGCCTCATGTAGCGAACATTCATTGGATTGTAGTTTGAAACAAAACTCCGCATTCTGAAGCTCCCGAGACGGAATTTAAGCTGTCCTTCCATTTGCAAATGTTGTGCTACCCTTTACCATATCAGACAAGGGAGTTTTTTTTCTGTAAGCTGCGCTTTACAGCTTTCTTGATTCTCGGATAAACGCAAGCCGTAAACCCTTTTTTCTTTGAAGCCACTTTTATTTTTGAAGTCAGTGAAAACACCTTACAGTGTTACTGATCATTCACGACAGTGCTGAGCATGTATCTGCTAAGATGTGAGTTGGTCGAGTTTTTTAAAATCGAGTTTTGAAGTATGGCTCATTGCAATGCCCAATATCTCGATAAGTCAAATGTTCTTATCAAGAATATGTCCAGCACTGATGGATCGGATTAGTACAGCTTTGTAATTTCCTCGCACTTAAAAAAAATGACTTTGAAGAAGACGGTCTTTAGAGGTCGCAGGCATACTGAAAGTTGGAAAACGCGGCTTGCACAATTATAGCTCCATTTCAACATAAATGTAGTAAAGAGTAATCGGAATATCTAAGGAAGGATCAAAAGCGCACAATGCAGATTTCATTTGCTGTATTTCAAATCGTGAAGCGTGTCTCACATTTTTTTCACATTACGTTTCCCTCCTCGTGGATGTTCCTGCATCCGGCCGTTAGAGAGTGTCATTCCAACGTTTACATCCAAGTTTTTCATAGATTAACGATATGTACTCTATTATCGTTCAACTACCGACATTTGACCAAACATAATTTCAGCTGATCTCTCAATCATGGATTTTGCTACTCATCGAGCTATAATTTTCACGGGCATCGTCATCCTCTCCGCCATAGGATTGTACGGGAACATATCTCTTATAGCTATTCACGTTCGAAAGCCACACTTGCGAACAAAATACGGTAAGAGAATTTTCTTATTAGAAGTAAATACAGCGAAAATTGACATGAAGCTGTAAGAAATTGGCTATCTATCTATTTCAAAATTAAACAATCACTGTTTTCTTTACCGCCACTTGTCAAACAATCCCGATCTTCCAGAAAAGAGTACCCTAATTTCACGCGTACAAGGCGCGGGGTGGTCCTAGCTTTCATCGAGCTGCTCAGCCGCCCCAACGTGTTTTAAGAAGCGATCCTTATGCCGCACGATTCGTCAGGCAAAACGCAGCACGGTATGGGGTTTCTTTGGTTGCGAAGTCTTTTGCCGTATTCGGGCTGGTCGATGAAAGCTAGGACCACCCCGCGCCTTGTACACGTGAAATTAGGGTAATTTGCCTTGATCACTTCAGGTCTTTTATTCACACTTTTAACGTTCTCACAGTCTATATGTATCGTATTTGAATGGATCGGTGGAATCTACATTGTATCAACCCCAAATGTAAGTTTTCTCGTTTGGCAATTTTTTAGATTTAGCATACACCAGTCAAAAATTAAGGCAACCGCGTATGGATGTTTCCAACTTATATCGATTTATGTTTTCATGCACTGCCTTCAAACAGGATTAATGGCAGCCATAGCTGCCGATCTATTTATATGTATCACGTTCCCGATGCTGTAAGTTCGCTCACCCATAGATCGGAGATCGGAAAAGTTGAGAGGACAACGAATAGATATTTTTAACAAGGAAAAAATGCTTGTTGGACATACTCTTCCCTAGTACGATACGTTCTTAGAGAGTTTGGAATTTGTGTGATATCTGGTTTCTATATCATAGCCTTTCATAAGAAAACACAAGCTTCTTTGAAAAGAGATAGTCATGCCGTCGGATAATAGTTATTCAAAACAATCTTTTCTCGCTGACAGGGAACAATAGCCAGCATCAAACTGTTCTACGCAATGCAAGTTTCTGGATAAACCAGTCAAACTTATCTCTGCTTTATTTGAGCGCTGGAGAAAGTGTAGGCGATTACTGTTTTGGTTATGCGCTTTATTTCTTGCCCTAAGAAGTTCGCATAATTCTTTTCAGAAACGCATCAGCGTTCAAACAGTTTAGTTCAATTCCGTGACTCAAGGTAATGTAGATGGCATGTCAGTTCACCGACAATAATTCTTTCAGTGAAGGGGATGTTTGAATATATACGTTGTCTTTCAGCTATTGAGCTGGAGAGACGTTGCAGCTTATGTGCTGACGGTTTCTAATTGCGGAAAATTCCGGAAATTTGGGTCAGAGATACCCAGTGTAAATGTATCTCGCCGACTTATTGATAGTAGCCATAAATGCAATACCGAAATAGCATTGTTGCTTCACCTACACTACCTGCTCTGATAAAAAAGCAATGCTTATAGTCCAACTAGCCGTTGGGCTGTTAGCACAACTAAATAGTAAAAAAGTTACGAAAAGTGATCGCGTAACAAGATGTACATGAGTTGCCACGCTTTAATCGAATATAGCCAAAAGCTATCTTAAGTAAGAATTATTCTTGAAATAGCTCATTTCAAACTAAAAACATTCACAATCAGAAGAGAACGTGGATTACAACGGTCTTTAAACAAGACTTAACTCGTTTTGGCATTAAAGCGTAAATTTTCTTGAGTTTCAGATAGGTGTCTCGGCATCATCCGACAGAGAGTAAGCTTTACAGGTCTTCAAACTTTTTCACTAAGTTTGCTACGCAAACTTTATAAACAAAAAACATGATCCAAGTGCCCGAAAAACTGTAAAGCAGTTATGACTTTGTTCAAGAAACTACATATTTTTTACTCGCTCACTTATGTAACTCCGTCAGAATTCAAGCATACAGTTGCTGGTTTTCGTTGTCTAGAAATCGGAAAGACAGAAATAGTCATTCTTTCGATAAAGCATTGATGAGCTTCCACATATTCGTAATTGTATAATACAAGCCTTTAGCAGTGGAACTGCGATTCGTAGCCTTCTACAGAGTTGTTTGAGAAATATTTAGTTTTGCGTGAATTACTAGAATAAGGGAAGAGATTTGACATTTCTCAAGGATTGGCTCTTTTAAAAGGACGAACTTTCACGGTTGTATCAAAAGAGGCTTATAGTATACGCTTTACAAGCACCAAAACTAAATTCATCAGCGTTTACTAAAAATATTAGAATCCAGGACTCAGCACTAGCTGGAACCAAGGAGATTTTGAAACGAAGCTCCCTTTGATTCTGAAAGTTCTTACGGAGTTCTCTTTCAATTTACGCTCTCCCTTCTCGTCATTACTTCTCCCTCGCCTTTTTCGCTTGTACTGTCGCTCACCATCACAAAAGTAACAGGCTAAAAACCTCCTCTTTTAGTGCTTACTGAACAAATAATTCAAATATTTAATACCTTCCGCATCATGCGCTTGGTTTGCTCGGTTTTGCTGGGGAGTTTTGCCGAGTTCTGCTCCATGGTCGGAGCAAACTACTGGTCCATCACTTGTCTCCTTCTCTCCAGGTCTCCCTTTCACCACCCCATTCACCTCCACCATTCCCCTCTCCTGGTAATGATAACATATTTGTATCACAAAAAAGGACATATAAAGAAAAAAGAAATAGAAAGTAAGCATATTCAACGTCAAACTGAATCGGTACTAGGGGAGCGCTTTGCGATCGGGTAGATTGCGCCGCCAATGGAAATTTTTGAGGGCTATGAAAAAGCTTAGAGGGAGGATTTTGAAACGCTATTTGCTCGTACGAAAGCCTTCACAATGAAGGTGCAAAACATGCAAGAAAGTATGAAAAATTATGTGAGCAAAAAGTCGGTTCCAGCTGAGTTGGCACCCAGCTGGACCGGTTCCAGTTAATTCAAAGTTCAGCACATGACTTTCATTCACATGAGTTTTCATAAGTTTTTGAACCGTATTCGAGTCTCGGTACGCGCACAAATTTGGCGTCAAACCACTGCGTTTTGATTGATAACAACGCTTCTGTTTGTTTGGGGTAGAGCATCTTGCATGCCACAAGCATGCTGCAGCATACCGGCAACATGCTAGCTGCCCCTTTTCGCGGATCGTGTAATGATATCTTCTTTGCCTTTTCCTTAAAAACGATACCCATGACCGGTTCCAGTTGCGGCGGGCCCTGCTAGGAGGTCGCGCTCCAAGGTAGATGGTAATCGCAATTTTCTGTGAGCTAGCCACAGAACAAGGCTTCCAAACATATAGCTTCAAAATTTGCAATGTTGAGTTTGCCGCCAAAAAACTGCCGAGACCCTTTAGCTAGCTCAAAAATATCTGTGAAAGTCTCTTACATGGCAGTTGTCCATACCTTTTTGTGGCAAGCTCTAATCTCGCATGAAAACGCGAAAACAAAATTTTTCCAAAAATGCGATTTTACAAAAAAATATTTCTTAATGCCACAAAAAAACGTCACACTGATTCGAGCACTAGGTCACTTCTGGTCACAAACTGCGTTTCTGTTAAGCTTTCATCAGGAAACTGATAAGGATATTTTTTTGAGGAATTACATTTTGACGATGTTTTTGCATTTTTATAATACCCTTGCGCGCATACAGATATATGCGAAAGCAAGTCACACAATCCTGTGCGATCCTGGTATACGGAGCATTTAAGATTGTTTCATACGCGTGATTGCAGCCGTCTAACGCTAATAAGTTCTTATCTGTTTGTTTTTCCGCTTGATTTTTTTGGGTAGTAAACCTCCGTCATCGCAGCTCAGGCTGGCCTAAGGTTGGGTTCATAGTGACTCCCATATTCCGGAACTGTTCCCGCACAGTTCCCGCATATTTCCCTCACTGCGCTGGAACTGTTCGGAAACTGTGCTGCATGCGCCGCAGCCGCCTCGCACTCGTTTTGCAGGCGGAAGTTATAGAGTTTTGACTGTTCAACAGATTTTCTTCCTTTCTCTCATTTTACTTATTCCTCTTCCCTGCTTCCCTTTTTGCTCAGCAGAATTTCGAACTCGAAGCGGGGTTAAAGAATGAGCGCTTTTCTGCTTTGCGTATGCGACAAAACGTGTGTTCTTGTGCTTGTCCATTTCCTCTTCGCTTTATTTTTACTCATACCTATTCCATTTGTTTCAGAAAGCCGCTGTGTAGTTTTCATAATCATTTGCCACGAATTAGGGAGCGCGCGCGATTCTGAAATCGCTTAAATTGAGACTTTTCTCTTGTTTTCTGATGAGTTTCGTTTTTGGGCCTTCTCAGCCTCTTCCTTTTTCCATATCGTTGCTTCTTCGTTCTTTCTTCTACCTCGCTTCTCTTCTTGATGAGAAAAGCTTGAACTTGAAGCGAGATTAAGGATTGAACGCTGTTCTGCTCCATGTATCCGAGATGGGCCCTTGTGCGCTTGTCTGTCTTCACTTCCATTTTTGTTCAGATTCACTTCATGTGTTCTAAAGACCTGTTTATGTCCCTTTCGATCGGATGATAGACTACGCAGACAATGGAGAGCGCACAAAGGCTCATCTTTTCGGATACATGGAGCAGAACAGCGTTCAATCCTTAATCTTGCTTCAAGTTCCCAGCTTTTCTCATCAAGAAGAGGAGCGAGTTAAAAGAAAGAAGGAACGGAGAAGCAACGATATGGAAAAAGGAAGGGGCTGAGAATGCCCAAAAACGAAACTCATCAGAAAAAAACAAAAGAAAACTCTCAAATTATGCAATTTTAGAATGCCCGACGCCGGCGCTCCCTAATTTGTGACAGATGGCTATGGAACCAGCGATTTCTTGGAACAAATGGAATATTTCTGACAAGGGAGGTCCGGTAAGTCAAAGTGGCCTTTCCAAATGAATCTTATACCCCTTTAAAACGCATAAAACGGTAACTCCAAATCTGATTTCATTATCTACCGAGCGCCTCTGCATGCCGAGTTGGGAATATTTTCTTGGTGCGAAAAATGAACGCATAATCTAGCTAAAATCAAATTTTATGGTCTTTTCAGCGCTCAAACAAAGCAGTTTCAAGCATGGGTTTTTGGACATAAGGTTTTCTTCGACTGGAGTGCTCTTGATGATCAACATTGGGCAATTTGAGCAATTCTAACGAAAAAATTTTCCGATCATGCGTTAAATTTTTCAATCAAAAAACGCACATAACTCGACGTCCAGAGGCGCAGGCAGATAACGAAGACAGATTTGGAATCGACGTTAAATACTCTTTATAGCAGTATCAATACCATCTGAAAAGGCCGCTTCGACCAAACGGACCCTCCCTTGTGAGTAAAGATAAAGCGAAGAGAAAATGGACGAGCGCAAGAACACGTTTTGTAGCATACGCAGAGCAGAAAAGCGCTCATTCTCTGACCCCGCTTCGCGCATGCGAGCGGCTGCAGTCAAGCAGCACAGTTCCGGAACAGTTCCAGCACAGCGCGGGAACTGCGCAGGCATTGTGCGGGAGCAGTTTCGGAACATGGTTAGCAATATGAACTTAGCCTAACTTGACTCCATGACATCTAAAGTTCATAAGGTAATTATAACCTCATCATCAATCGCAATGCGAAGCACTCTGTGGACCTAATGAACGTGTGCTTTCGTAAAAACTTTATCCGAGTTGCGTGGGTAGATTACTGATTCTAAGCGAGAGAATTATGGCTTAAGGTTAATCTGTGACATCATTTACGTCACGTCCTCTAATAGCGGTCAACACTCGATTTCAGAAAC